ATCGAAGCCTCCGCATAGGAGACCATCTGCCAAAAGAGGTAGAGCAATTCGACCTTGTATAGCAGCGGGAAATCACAAGTATCAAAACAAAAACCGATACTTATTGCACAATAGGTGGTTTTCGTTCCCCAGTGGCCTGGTGGATAACGCTTTGGTGTTTGAAGCAGTGGTTACTGGGTTAGAGTCTCAACGGGAGCAACATCACTGACTTTATTGCAGGTGCATCCAGTTGATGAGTACCAAACAGGAGGAGATGCACATTCTGGATTCCGCTACTAGCTATCAAGTAAACTACAGAAAGGAAACATTTATCCATTGTTTATCCCGTATCTTCTTCATTTCAGTCAAAGTCCTCATATCATTCACTTGGTTGGTTTAGTAAGTTTGTAGACTGGACGAATTAACCGTTAGATAGTTAATAGTTTATTTCTCGATCTCTTAGTAATAGTTGAAGCCTGTCAGTTAACTTTACACCGTAGTCACTGGACTAGGTGATGTATCACCGCAGGTACACTGTGTTCAGTGTTGTCATTTGGTTTTTATCTTTTTCATGCTACTTTTTGTTTGCTCAAGTTGTATTTTTTTAGGGGAGGGAGTTATTTCATTTCATCGCATCACGCTATCATTTTTCGAAGCAACAATGACTAGAGAGCACTGAATGTAAGACACTGAGATTTAGCGATGACTGACGTTACCTTTCTAGACTAACAGAAGAATGATTTAGGCAAGCCTGAGCTTCAACCCTAACTTTTTTTTCTACGGTGAGAACTTTCGTGATCATCTTTACAACTTTTAAGCAATTTTTCATTATATATATAATAGTGAAACTTGGGCATTATGGAAGAATGTAATTCCATTTTATCATTTGACCATCTGAGATAGCCGTAGTTTGGCAGACTAGTGTCTATACGGGTAGTGATTGAAGGTGAGGTGAAAATCTAGACTACGGCTGGATTTGAACCAGCAACCACCGGTTTGCCGGCCCGCCCGTGGTCCAGATTTTCATCTCACCTTCAATCATCACTCAGCATAAATACTATTCTGCCAAGTAGTCAACTGATAATCTATATGATGCTCCCCATCTCTAATTCAAGTAGATTTGGATTGGGATGAGTTCTGACTAGGCAACCGGTGTGAATCCGAACGAGAGATGGTAACACATCACGAATTCATATGGTAGTCGGGCAAAACCTCAGCTTGTAATTTAAGTGAAGTGAAATAAAAATGTGGTCAGCAGTCGGACCTCGTAACTCAGTTGGTAGAGCACCGGGTCGGAAACCTGGTGGTCGCTAGTTCGAATCTGGCCGCAGTCTAAGTTTTCATTTCACTTTCAATCATTACCCAGTATAAATTCCATTTTAGTTGATTTGTTCAATGTATCACACAGTGAAACAGTATTGTTATTTACTGGTTTACGTTTTGGACACAATTTTTATTGTCCCCATAGTCATTTCAAGATAACTCTATATTTTCGAGACATGGTCTATGAAGTACTAATTTCCCCGCCTCCTTTGTGATATGGCTGGTGGAATTTTCTATGTATATCCTGAACAGGTGTTTGATCATTTCTTTTGCATGTATTTGATTTTGGTTAAATAAAAAAGATTCGGCTTCAGGTTTATATTCATCATGGATTGAGACTAGTTGCAGAACCACTGGAAACTTGGAAGCACTAGGCAGCTGTCTCGTGTTAATATGAGGCACTTAAACAGTGGGAACCCAGGACGTTCAGGTTTCGTGATGAACACGGCACTATTGGGCCATTTGGTCGGTACCCGATGGTCTACATTCCCTACTTCTGTCATTTCATGATATTCCACTACCTACATCCGGTGCCCCTCTTCTGGGTTGGTTGACCGCCACCGTTCATAACTTCTCATTAGAATGTTGGGAATCTCATCTCAAAGCAAGTTACTAGTTGGCACTAGAGGTTTGCAATAGTTCTTTAACTGGTGTCATTCCATGGTGAATATCAACTTGAAATCGAATCAACACACTAAATATATGCAGATGGAATGAATCAACACCTGTTCCGCATATGTGGAAAATCTTACCACCCACGTTTATCACAAGAGAATTAGAACTATATAAAATCATGTCTTAAAATTGTGCAGTTATCTTGATATTTTGAGGGAGTTGTGGAGATTTGAAAATATTTTAAGTTGTTATTCATCTTGGACTGACATCAGTTGGAGGAACAAAGGAAACCTGGGAACACTGGACAGCTGTTTCGTCCTAATATGGGACTCATCAGCAGTGCGCACCCACGACCCTGCTAGGGATCGAACCGCGACCTTCAGGTTCCGCTGCCAACGCGTTACCCTGATATGACTATGAACAATAAATTGTGTCTAAAACGTAATCTAGTGAATGACAATACTGTTCCATTGTATGATACACCTAATAAATCAACTGAAATAATGGTATAAACAATCTGCACGTTAGTTATATAGTAAAAGTATTCATAGTTTTTTTTTAATCTCCGCTTAGATTGTCTAAATTTTCATAATGTTCGAGTATTCTTTGATATTTTTCTGTTACAGTGACATGGTTAATGATATGTGAAGTAAGACTGATGAATTACCCTAATATTCAATTACACACACTCAGACACATACACACACACACAGAGAGACGTGCGTATCCGCCATCCCTTATTCAAAACCATTTGTTTCTATATAATTTCAAAGTTTATAATGATTGTTATTTGTTAGTGATATATGCGTGTTTATACACCAGCAGGTGTTGTGTAATTATTTTGAAATAGTGAAGTTTTTCTTTTGTTTATTTATAACTTTACATCTAGATCTGCTGATCAATTTCATGCATCATTTTACAGCACTATTATATATCGGCTTATTTCTTCTATCATTATAAGTAGCTATTTTATTACTGTTTGACGGTAATATACCTTGTACTAATTAATTTCTAGTGTTTTGATAATCATATCTTGTTTATTACCTTTTTGCCTGTAATCTTTTAAAAACACATTTTCATCATAATTTATTTCTAACGTGTATGTTGATATAAAATATACGATATTCACATATATATACGATTATGTCAACAAATAAACAAATAGAAAAATCTTGTATGATCAGAGGATATATTTTCTCTCACTTATCAATAATGTTTTGTTTATGTACTTGCATATTTGCATCCATTCCGATCTGTTCTCCCTTTATATAGGATAATAGATTAGATTACCACATGTTACAACTTTTAATTGATGAATGCATCTTTTGTTATGTGTTTTACCAGTCATTAAATGACTTAAGCATAACTATCCATGACATTAAAGAAAACGTGGAATTCAGCGAAGATATCTTTTTCGACTATTTCATTCTCTATCGCAATTTATATAATTTTGTTTCACTGTTTGTATAGTTATAAGAATTATTTAATTAAAGCTAGTAACAAAGATCATATTGATTGAGGAATAAAAATTCACAAGTGTAGGTAGGTACCTTGCCCATTGTATTCGAAGAATCTGCAGTACTGATAACTTAGAAGAAGAACTCAACCGTTCCGGTTGAAAATGGTTATCCAGCATGATATTCGGACAAGAGCATTGGGCACAAGCCACAAAATAGGATACCTACTTAAGTTCTAAAGAAGATATTATGCATGAATTTTGACTTCAAAGGTGACCCCGTTGCTGACATGTTGAAAAGATTTTCAAACTCGCTAAAGAAATATAAGAGTAAAACTTGGGCACTGTGTTCGATTGTAATTCCATTTTAGTCTTTTTATTAGAAATATTACACAGTGAAACAGTAGCATTTACTGGATATTTTTTCGGACACAATTTATTGTTCATATTCACATCCATATGTCGCTATAGAAAGCCTTCTTCGCGTCAACCTTGAGGATAGTATTCTCCAGTCGTCCAATGTATTTCGAAAACCCGAAAGACAAGCTTCTGCATCTGACCACTTCCGTGTGTGCTCATCAAAGTGGTGCAAGTAGACCAATCAGAAAGGCGATAATTGAGCAGATTTTCAACACTAGTCACTGTATCACAACTGATTCAGCATTCAAAGTCATCTACAGGGTAAAAAGAACTTTATCAGAAATGGATGCCACCTTGAAGCTAGTAAATTGCTAACCAAATATCAGCCTCTATCTCTCTCTTATCATTCACAATTTTGTTGTATTTTATAATATTTTTCAAAATCTCAGTATCATCTCCATTCAGTTTTCATGCTACCTTTGATTATGCATTATCTTGCACCACACTTGCGAATTTGTAATCTTCATTCAACTTGACCTTTGTTACTAGGTTTAAGTAAATAATTATTGTGACTATCCAATATAGTTAAACAAAAATGTATAGATTGCGATTATAGAGAGAGATACCGTCGAAAAAGATATCTTCGCTGAACTTCCTATTTTCTTCTAATCTGTGTATTACAAAATGCAGAAAAAGAGAGTCCTAAGTGAATACAATTTGTGTGTACTATTCTTACCATTGTCATCAATGATGATGTTATGACTAATAATTGTACTACTATTAATTAGTAATAGTATGTATAACGTTTTTTTTTACCTAACCTGGTGTTCATTACTTTATGATTAACTGATAAACAACAAATGAGATTTTGATGAGTTTCGTGTAATCACTATCGATTTTGTAAATTTGTTTATCTTATACTTTCTCAACCACAATATATTGTTTTACTATATACTGCTTGTTCGACTCTCTTTTGTTCTCTCAATATTATATATATATATATATATCCAACGTCTATGTAAGCTTTGTTTAAAAAGATTACAAAAAGTGAAGAGGTTATTTAAAATTACACCGAACATTGTTGATCTCATACACTATTTGAATGAAATAATGACCAAAAATGTCAGTCATGCTACATAAAACTTATGTAATAACATGTTGGATACCGGAAATGGTGTACAATATTATATTCATTGAGATTTTTATCAGTTTATTGTTATATACACTAATGTGTGCCGGTTATCTTTCTTTTTATATATCTGTATAGAATGTTGTCTTGTCTAGTGCTGAATCATGTCATGCTTTACAAGTAGAAGAAGTGAATAATTTACAAGTGAATGATGAAACCACTATTAGTTTATCATCATCATTATTATTAGAAAAACTTAAAGTACAAGAGGAATTGTTAAATGAACAAAAGGAGCAATTGACTAATTTTAAACTAAAATATGAAACATCAATTCATGATAAAGAGAATGTGAGTGCATGTTATGCTTTTTTAATATTTTTATTTTATAAAGATTTCAGTACTATGTTGAGTAATTCCATATTAGATTTGTTTATTTGATTTATAATACACAGTGATACAGTACTGTTTACTTGATGATGATGTTTTCAGCATACTAGGACGAAACAGCTGTCCAGTGCTCCCAGGTTTCCTTTGTTCCTCCAACTGATATCAGTCTTCGATGAATAACAACTTGAAATATTTCCAAATCTCCACACCCCCCTCAAAATTTAATTGAACTAGTGCTCGTTGCTGACTAGCTTCGAGAAGTATTCCCGAAGTTCCAATGACAAGTCGTGACCGGTGGAGTCAAAGCCTGATGGCCGTGAGGACAAATACTCAACGATGACATTGGGTGGCGGTTTGCGCTATATCGTGAGCTAACAGAAGTTGGAAATATGGAGCATTGGATTCTGACCCAGTGGCTCAATGGTAACGCGCTGGTCGCGGAACCTGAAGGTCGCGGGTTCGATCCCTGCTGGTGGGGTCGTGGGTGCGCACTGCTGAGGAGTCCCATACTAGGACGAAACAGCTGTCCAGTGCTCCCAGGTTTCCTTTGTTCCTCCAACTGATGTCAGTCTTCGATGAATAACAACTTGAAATAAATTATCATTGTTCATAATCATATCAATGTCATCACACCACTTTCGATATCTGATTTTTATAGTTACATCACCTTTCATTGTTTGTTTTTATTGGTAGTAAAATTTTCTTGATCTCTAGTATAGGTTTTTGTGTCATTTCTATCTCATACGTTGGCTGGGTGATAAATAAAGATTCAGTAATCAATCTCACTCTCCGCCTAATTATATTAGACTTTAGTACAGTGGTTTTATCCCACCCTATTGTGTGGCTGTGTGTTGATGCATGCAGTTGCCGAGTTTTTTTTTAATACTAGATTATTGATCTTATTGCGATCGTTTGTCATTCTATATTTTGCTAAATCCCTGTGTTCCGCTAATCTAACTGACCCCGACCAAATAGTTTGACCTATATACTTTACCTCGCAGTTATCACATGGAATTCGGTAGATTAGATTATTTCGCTTGAACGTATGTATCAGATGCTTACACCGAGAAAGCTTATCTTTGAGTGAGTTTGTAGGCTTAAATGCCACCCTAATTCCAGCCTTGTTTAGAATCCTACACATAGTTTCTGATGTCCCTTCCTTATATAGTAACACAATGGAGGCTTTGAACTTATTTCTACTTGTGTTGTTGTTGATTACTGAATCTTTGTCCATCGAAATGTCACTGTTGGTTTGAGCCATTTGGTACGATGCAGACTAGTCGGTTGGGGTCCGCAGGACAGAGGAACCAGTGGTTGGAGACCCTAGGTGATATGGCTGAGAACCGATGTGAGTGGCGCAGATGTATACACATATTATCCTCATCTTAACAACGCTATACCGAATCTCACCATTTTGTCATTTCTCCTTTCTTCTCGTACTTTATATTTCTTTTGACTGAATTTTCTAATCTTCATCTTTCACCTCACTACTTTTTTACCTAATGTGCTGATATGAGCTGTGGCAACTCGAACCGTTATGCAGTAATGCCTGGTCCTTTGTTGATATTGATGATGATGAATATGGAATTAGATTTCACCACAGTGCTCAAGTTTGACACTTACGTTTGTAGACTAATCTTTACTGTCATTGTCCAACAGACTTACTTAAAAATTCACTTCAAATCTTGACAACCAAAACACTTGATTGTATCTAACGTGTTAGATGCACTTCATATGTTTTATTATGTAAGTTGAATGTTACACCAATTGCTAGCGTTTATAATATTGACTTTGTTCATTACGTTTTCGGTTGACTGTTTAAAGGAGAAGAAGATATTTTTCATGTTTTGATGCACAGACAGTTACGATTTTCGCTAAAGAATGCATACTAGTGTTAAAAAGGAACAAATAAACTGTTTGGATATGATACCTCATTTCTCAACTAAGATAATTCCATGATATATAACTTTTATACTATCTGAATATTACTGCACTAACCTATGCTTTATCCATGCATATAAATCGTAAAGTGAATAAAATGCAAAACGAGTTATTACAAACCCCTTTCCTTTTGTCTTACTGTACAATAGCAGATAATGTCTAATGGCTCCCCACCCATATATTCTGTGCAATCTGTATCATACATTAGACAATTGAATTACATATCCATAAGACACTCTTATCCATAGAAATGAAATTTCATATGTATAGATTGGAATAATGCATGATAATTTATTTCTCAGCAATGAATCGTACAGGGTCGAGTAAGGGGTCAATTGAAAGCTTTTTGAGTTGGGAGATATACTGATACCATAAATAAGTGTTAAGTAAGATGTCTTTTAAGAAATAAAATAATAGAATCAGTAATGCTTCAGTGATATTCCTATTTTCATTTCTTCAGTCCCACATGAAACAATTTAGTTCTTTTATGGTATATACAGTGGGAATATTTGATATCTTTGAATTGCCAGTTGTCCTATTTTCCTTTTCTTCATATTCTACTTGTGGGCCTGCAGACTAAATTCTTTAGGGGTGGGGTAGGGATTCACATTCATATTTTGTTTCATAAATATTTCTAAAAGAATAGGCAATAATGGATTTACTTTTTCTGATGATGCCACAAAATCAAACAAGGGAATGAAAGTAAGCTACTTACCACTTGTTGTAACAGAAGGTTTACTGAAAGATAAGCAGTATATACAAAATACAAAGGTTTATACATATATTTACAATGACCTTGACTAATTCCAGGCCCTTGTAGATTCGAATGCCCTATTGACTTTTGTGTCTTCAACAAATCTGATATTTACAGGTCGGTTCACGTGCTTTTCCTTCCTTAAAACTTTGGAACGAAAGAACTGGTTGAAAAGACTTCAGGTGTTTATGGCTTCTTATGAAAACTGACAATTTTACACCATACTATAATATGAACTTTGGAATATACATCATAACTACTTATTGATAACTGTTGCACTCCTTATATCATCTCACAAACTGAAAACATAGAAACTGTAGTTAGAGAATTAGAAATGGTAATTGTTTGCCTATTTGTATTCAACCTATATGCATATGTAGGATTTTCAGCATTGATCTGAATAAGGCGATTATCAATAATGGTATCTTCATTGACTTCACCATAGAACTTATGAACAGCAAATATGATTTCATCAGTCATATCCTCTTCATGAAATTCAGAGTTGTTACTCTCTTGACCACTTATGAAAAGATGTTAGTGAAACTAAATGAATAATTATCGTGTCACGTCTCCAACTGAAATTTTGACATATTTTAATTAAACACAATGAACTGATTAAAAAGTCATATAACTTCAGTTTTCTGTACACTTTTAAATGAATCATAATCTTCGTTGCCATCTTTTATTTTTACAAAGACAAAGAAATGGATATATATACCTTGGAATGAAGTTTTTGCAAAAATGCTTCGTAAAAATATTGAAGTAAAAATTTTTACATTCATTAAGAACATGTTATCAATTAGCTCGATTAGCACTTATGATCTCAGTTACCGCTTCTTGATGAAAAATGGCAGCCGTTTGACTTGTTTGCCTATCTACTGAAGTTCAAGCGTGAAACGTCGAGGTTGTTGTTGATGCAGTTCCGTATAATTCGGAAAATACTTTTCAGCCTTATTTGTAGAATAATGTGTATCTGTGGTTCAATGGTTTAACCTGATGAATATCAAACAATTGGGTAGTTGGTTTGAACCCCGCCCCAGCTACCGAGGTTTGAGAAACCAAGTAGTATTAGTGGCCCTCTTAAAACAGGTTTTGCTCATTGTCTGTTGCACGAATGTGCATAAGGCGGATAAGTGTGTTCCGTTCTATATTAATCTAGTCAGTGGGGGCACACATCTCTCCTATAAGACAGACTAAAAACCATGAAGCCTTTGATCTTCGTACACTTGAAAACATTCACATGTTGTCTAACAAGAAAAGTATTTTGCCTGCAGTGAAGAAAATTAGATATAGGCGTCTGGTACTCACTACGATTCCATGCAAATACTGAAGTAGGTGCTACGGACAAGAATGGATAGAAGTAGTGTATTTTGAGAGGTCGGCAGAAGTCATAGGTAATTACGAGCAATAGGTAACTATTCATTCCAAGTGCAGCCATCTCCTCCTAAAGGTTACCTACTTGCTTTTCCCAGTCATTTACTTCTAAAGACTCCACCGCAGCTACTGAAGTCTAGTCACCTTCCCCAGCTCACTTATATCCATGAGTAGGGCTGCTTTCACTAGTCGTAACTGCTGAGCAATGACATTCGAGACACTTTCGGTGAACTGCACAGCCAGCAACTGTGCTTCGTAGTCCTAATCGAAAGTTGGAAGTGCTCACCGAATTAACTTTGTAAATTTCACAGCCAATACCAGCGGGTCCTCGTCTACTGCAAGTTTCGTGCTCCGTCACTGGTGCATCGCTAGTTCCCTGTCCACTGGGCTGTCAAACTCCATCTCCAGTTGTCTAACCATTCTCTGTCAAGTCTTTTTCTCATCCATGCATTCCACGCTGTCATACATCTCTTCACTCTACTCCTCAACAACGTACCAAGCACTACAACCTTCGCTCTTGGATCCCGGACTCTCACCAACCCCCTGTGAACGACTTGAAATCCCCGAGGAAGACCTTGATGTCCCTATACTTGAACACTGCAGGCCACGGGACATTCATCACGCCCAAAGCAGCGGCAGCAATTGTAAGAAAGCGTCAAAGAATGAAACGCAGGAGAGAATGTTTATTACGACATTTCGTACACTTTCCAAGAAAATATTCATTTTCGGAATGTTTCAAGTTTTTTTCTGCTCCTATCTAGTTTTGATCTTCATACGCCCATGTTATCTCTTGCGTTTTTCTGCGCAGAAAATTTACCCATCGCTCGTAATTATCTATGACTTCTGTCGATCTCCAAGCATATACTACTTAAATCCATTCTTATGAGTAGTAGCCACTGCAATGCGATTTCTAATATTACCTAGTTGTCTCCGTTTTTTGATTGGTTGAGTCCTCTACACGAGCAATTCACCTGTACTTGAGGAGTACGCTTCTTGCTTGGTTTCACCATCAGTGCCAACAATGAAACATTTCATGGAAAATAACTTATTGCTAGTATACGTTTACACTAATACAGTATATAACTTGACATAAAACCTCTACGACAGATCAGCTGACACACTGACGCCTACTGTAAATGCACTTAATGCAACGCGATCAGGGTAAGAAAAGCAAGAATTAAAAATCTGCTCAAAAATGATAATTCCATATACTAATTGAAAGGAGTTAGGATTAAGAGTCAGTCAATCAGTTAACATTTACGTTCGAGTTGGCATTTGCACCTAGTGGTCCATGTTGCCACGCCGAATATCAGTACATCAGGGTACTAAAATGAAAGAGAGAAATAGAGAGGAGAGTAACACATTTTGCTCGTACTCCAGTGTATTTCCATTATGTTTCTAATTCACGAAGAAACAAAGAAAGAGGTTAACATAGGAACTTGTAAATACGTGTGTTAGATCAAAGTTTTAAGAATTTCCGACAAAACTCAGGAGATTTCAACATTCAGAGAAAGATATAGTAGTAGTAATCCAGAGGGAATAATAGGTATGAGACAATGGGATATTCACTTTCCAGGGAAGAATTTAGTTGGACTACTTCAGCAACACTTTGTTTGCCTATCTAGTCATATAGGTCAGTAATATCTTCAATCTGTTGAACCAATGACTAGGAGGTCGACACTTTCTTACAGAGCTCTCTCTTTGTCTATAATCCATCCATTCATCTATTCAAATTTTACTCCTATTATTGTTGCTCACTAGATGTAATGCATGCCTCAGTAATTGTACTTTCACAATCCCATCGATTGACTTATCCTCCTCATCCGAAAGAACGAAATGCACTCAGTTATCTCTTGCACATCCATGCAGTAGACAACAAGCTACACCTGTTATGTGAGGGCTAGTGATACTTGCTGGTTACCCAAACTTCAATAGGTGGAGGGGGGGTTCGAATCCATGACCCTCTGGTTAGTAGTCATCTCCGGAAACAGTTGAGCTACAGCTCCGCTTCCTCATCCAGGACTACAAAGTTTAACATGAATATTAACTAATCTGTATTTCCGCACTACGTATTCTGTTTGAATAACTACATTATTCAGTCATTTTGAATGTTTATTATCTTCGTTACTAATCGGTTCCGATACATATACGTTTCATGAAATTTTATCTTTTAATTCATTTATTGTACAATCTTCTTTACGGATTGACAGATGTCTGCTTGATAACTTACCTTTTCTGGGTATTAGTACACTATTCAATAAATATTTAATAGGATATGAAGTTTTAAATAAATCACTGTATTATTTTTTTTATGGTAACTTTTCTCCTTTCCTAGTCTGAAAATAAACTTTGTGAACTTGAAGACAATTTAGAAAGAATCAAAGAAGAATTAGCTGAATCGAAAGCTAGACAAGATGCCTTACTAGTAGAATTGAATGGGACACGTTTAAAACGTGATCAATTAATGGAAGAAATTTCAACAATTCTAGGTGATTTGTCTGTAGCTGAAAAATCTGAGAATTTATCAACAGTACTTCATCAGCGTATTAATGATTTGAAAGAGCAAATGTAAGTTAATGTTATTTGTTTGTTAAATATTTCAGGTATTTATTAGATTCTGTGAAGTAATTCCAATTCAAGTTTATCGTTCTGTTGAAGAATTAAGTTGAACACTTTTTCTTAGGTGTATAACACAATGTAACAGTATTATCATTCACTGGATTACGTTTCGGACACCATTTATTACCCATCCTGGTATCAGGATAACTCCACAACTTTGAGACATGGTCTATATAGTTCTAATTCTCTTGCCTTCTTTGCGATAAAGGTAGGTAATAGGATTTCCCATGTATCCGGAACAGGTGTTGAATCATTCCTGTTGCATGTATTCTGTCTTGACACGACAAAAAAGATTGTTATCAATCTTTCGCTGTACGTCACTAAGCTGGTTTTAAGGATTTTCAACCTCTCCCATCCTACTGTGTGGTTGCGTATGATTGCGTGCATAGCTGTGGTCGACTTTTTTTCTAGTAAGATCTACTGATTTTGATTTAGTTAGGTTTTTTTTTGATTGGCTAACAATAACTAACCCTCACAGACTACTTTCACTGATGTATTGAACCTCGCAATCATGGTAAGAGATTTGGTAAACTAAATTATTCTGCCTAATTGAATCAAAGCTTGTTTCATAAGTGAGTTTGTTGGTTTAAATGCCATTTTAATCCCATCCTCATTGATAATTCTTCGTAACGCTTCCAAGGTGCATTCTTTGTATGGTAATACTGAAGAAGTTTTGAGTTCTATTTTCACAATGTTACCACTATTAACAACATTGGACCTGGTATTATTGTGTGACAGTTTTAGTTACAACACCTTACAATAGTGTTTCACGACAAAAAACAAAGTAAATTAAGACTGAATGGAAATCATATGATCGTGAGTCAGTCGTAGGAGACAATAAAATGAAATGTGGAGTACACGCAAATAACGAAGTGTACTACTACGAATAATCTGAAAATAATGTATGAATGTGCTTCCACTATTGTAACAGATCGTTATGCGTATGTTTCAGAATAGCCAATCATGTGAACGTCAACTAGGATATGTGTATTACCGCACACTATCTGTAATAACGGTCACAGATTTCATGAATCGATGCTGCATTTTGATCTAGTCACAGTTAAAATTCTAACCTAATATTGCTTCAGCTAAGATAGCATAATGGGTCTATCGATGATGATATCCTTACGTAGGTGTCTTTGACCACCGATCCAACTGAAGTGATATAATTTTTCAGTTAGGTGAAAAGATCGAAATGTTTAGTTACTTGAATTTTTATTATCACACTATATTGTGAAGCAACAATATGTGTCTAGGACTTGAAAAATATTGTATTTTGAATGGTGTAATTGGCGGGCTAATTTTTTCTGAAAAATGTGATGTATAATTTTTGAACTATCGGATGGCATATTTCCACTTGTGAAGTTAATTAACAGAAAAACAAAGAAGGAAGGTTAAGTAAAACAACTGTGGTAATAGGAAATTTTAAGAAGTCAGAAAAGTAGATTCTCACACTACTAAGATAGGTTTTTGTGTAGCAACAAATTGCTGGCTTCATTTCGCCTATCTATCCCTTCCATAAATGCTGCTCCATCTATTTCTCCATAAAGTTTTGAAGCGGTTGCTCATTTGTGTAATATATTTAGATATGGATGAAGATAGGAGTGTCTGCGACCTGCATTTAAAAACGTTTGAGATTCCTGCTTTTCTGAAGCGAATCTGGTGCTTTTTTCTCCATCTTCAGCTGTTTGACTCGACCACTGTTCTCTAAACATATGTGAAGAACATCTGTACTGGATAGAATCCTATTATTCTATATGTATTCTTTTCTAAAAGTAGCAAGATTAGTTGGATAACTTGTTTTTATAGATGACTTGTGGTAACTTTCCCGTCTGTAGAGCAGGTGGGTTTTGATGTCAACTGACATCCAACGATATAATTGTTGCATTGAATGTGCTTTTTCCAGATTTGTTCCAATTGGTATTCAAATATCCTCCATCCATTGCATCTGATGTGCACATACACTGCATCTCATTAACTGGACCCTTCATTAAGCTTCACTTGTATTACTTTGAATAAAAGTTGTGAAAAATCAGTTATTCCCTAAACTGTTAGGCTTCCTGTCAATCAACCGTCTTATATAATCTTCTCTACAAGCAAAAAGAAAATTTCTGGAGTGACAGATGGTCGTGATTTTCTTCTTTCTGATTATGTTAGATAGATGTTATCTTATACACTGTTGACTCCTTTATAATAGACTAAGTGCAAACTTGTGCCGTTTGCTATCTTTATTCATTATATCCCTCTTCAACTTTCGATGTAACACGTTATATACATCAACGAATAACACTCTGAATTAACTTCCGATGAGATTTCTGCACGGATACAAAAGGCTCGATTGGCTTTTACCAATTTGCGCCACCTATGGTGCCGCCGTGATATTCGTTTGTCTATTAAGGGTCGCGTGTATTGCACAGCAGTCCACTCTGTTCTACTGTATGGCCGTGAAACATGGCCATTGAAAGTGGAAGATATAAAAAGGCTTGAGGTGTTTGACCACCGTTGCCTTCTTAGTATAGGACGTATTCCATGATGTCACCATGTGAGTAATGCAGAAGTTAGGTGTAGAGTTTTAGGGGGAAGAGGTAAGCCAGTTGACGAGGTTGTGAACCTTCATCGACTGAGACAGCTGGTTGGGACACGTACTATGTATGCCTGGTCACCGATTGCCTCATCACACAATGTTGGCTGAGGTGGGTCCAGGCTGGCAAAAGGTTCGAGGTGGCCAGACTAAAACATGGCACCAATGTATGAAGTCTATGACTGTTGGTTTGAGCTATGTGGGGAGATGCAGACTAGGTGGTTGGGGTCTGTGGGACAAGAGGAACCAGTGGTTGGAGACTGTAGGTGATATGGCTGAGAAGCGATGTGAGTGGTGCAGATGTATACACACATTATTTTCATCTTAATGACGCTATACCGAATCTCACTATTTTGTCACTCCTCTTTTCTTTCTTCTCATACTTTATATTTCTTTTGACTGCATTCACTTATCTTCATCCTCCACCTCACTATCTTTTTACTTGATGAACTGACGTGAGGTGTGGCAATTCGGACCGTTACTCAGTAATGCCTGGTTCTATGTTGATAATGATGATGATGAATTCGAAGAAATGGAAAATGTTAAATTCTTTAGTGATTCTGTAGACATTGTGTTGTGTAGTTACATTTCGTCTCTTTGTTGCACTACTTATCCCCTCATTTTTATGGCTATAACATGTATTGTCCAAATAGCGCTAGAAAAACAGCTTTAGCATAATAGCGTGGATTCATTTTTATTTCGCTATTCCTTATCAGCTGTTTATAGCTTAAAACAGTTTTAACATCAATTTACATGAGTATTTGTATATTTGAATCAGTTTGATAGAAAATTGTCGACATATACCAATTCACATGTACAAAAGTACATACGTAGGGTTTGTAACTACCTTTCTCATCATATTCCAGGGAGTTTACGACTGAAAGGTGGAAAAGTCTTCAACAGTGCTATTGTTCGTCATCATATCGATAGTGGACTTGAAATAGATATTTGGAAACCGTTCAAAATAATTAATAAATAGATAAATCCGAATTTGTTACGTTTGAAGTGTTACCTGTTAAAAGATTGAAATCAAACTTATGTGTTTTAAAAGAAACAGTTATCAGTTCGCGCCTACTATGGCAAAAACTTTTGCTTTTACTGTTTGTTGATATGCTTGTAATTCTCCGTTGTTATACTGGATTGAACCGTCCAACCTCTGTTGGAAAATGGAGCTCCTGTGTGGATACTTCGATATCGCCTGAATATTCATTATGGTGATTTACTTGACCGTGGCAAGTAGAAGAACCCAGGACATGCGTTTTGTCCTATTTCGAACTCGTCACTTGGATGTACTTGTATTCCAGTGAGCGATATTATCCTCACTGGGCCTCGAACCTCGCTTGTTTTGTTGACAACCATCATGCTGTTTACATAATATTGACAATACATACAAGTTGGGTTTTTTGTTCTTGTACATTACACACCCTTGAACTAATTTTTAATTCTACTCACATTAGTTCTTAATTAACATAAATCTTAAAGCCTTTTGCGCATATTGTGTAACCTTCCTCAAGATGTTAGATATACTTGTCTCCCCCTCTTATTCAACTTCCGTCCTAGAATATTTGTCTAATCCTTCTGTATATATTGGAGAACTTAGTTTGACATATTTATTATTATAATTTGTCCTTTGGGTTCCTAATGGAACATAAGGCTTCAGTAGAACGTCTCCATTCCATTCTGTTCTCTGCAATCTTTTGAAATTGGCTCCACGACTGCCCAGAAGCTCTCATTTCCTCCTCACACGACCTCCTCCATGTCACCCTCATCTTGGACGCCCAACTCGTCGCTTCCCATCAGGGTTCCACTCGAGCAACTGGCCTGACGCATGATGTCCCCAGTCGGCCTTCTCAGTGTATGCCTGATCCAATCCATCTCCACTTCCTTCCAGTGCATATTTGTTGAGAGATAGGTTCTTGGTTGGTTCGTTGCCAGCCAGTCAGCCAGAGTTGCTTGTTGCTTTTTCTTTCTAGCCATTTGAGCTTCAGTAACGAGCCAGTGTGGGTGGCAGTTGTTATTGAATGTCTGTAGTTTGTTGGAAATGCCTTTGGTAAGGCGCCAAGTTTCTGAGCCATGTAGAAGCACTGACTTGACTGAATTAGTGTTGAAAATCCGGATGTTCATGCTTCGTGCTGAGTGAGTGCAGAAGATCTCCAGGCTGATGAACACCTGTCTTGCTTTTTCGATTCTGACTTTGACGTCCTTGTCTGTGCCTGTGTCACCTGTAGTTGAAACAGTGCTACCTAGATAGGTGAAGGAGGTTACTTCCTTTCAGTTTCTCCGGTTGATGGTGATTAGAGTTTGTTGTTGTTGTTGGAGTTGGTGGTGTTGTTGGTTAGGTATCTTCATCACTTCTGTCTTCTCTATATTCACTTGAAGTCCCGTCTTCGCTGCCTTGCCTCTTCTGTCAACTTGTTAGTTTTTGCCTGTAGATCTTCAAGTTTGTGCGAAATTAGACAAGTTGTCGGCGAAATCCAAGTCTTCTAGGTTGTTCTCCGTGGTGCAGCGTATCCCCCTCTACTCGCTTCCCACTGTTTGTTGCATGATGCAGTCCACTACAACCAGGAATATCATGGGTGACAGTAGGCAATCTTGTTTCACTCCTGTCTTCAATTCACTTCGAAGAAGTCACTGAGCTTCCCATTGTGAATTACTTGGCCTGCATGTGGCATCTTCATATAGTTGTTGAATGAGGCGGATAAAGGTTTGTGGTACTCCGTAGTAATGAAGCAGTTTCCAAATTATTTCTCGGTCGATGCTATCAAAGGCCCTTTCAAAGTCGATGAAGTTGAGGTAGAGAGCTGATTGCCATTCTATACTCTGTTCTATGATGATGCGTAGTGTAGAGTAGCGTTGCAATTTGTTCCGCACGTGATTTTTACTTCCTGAAGGCAGCCAGCCTGTTCCGGTCGTAGTTTTGAATCCTTCAGTCTCTTCAGGATGATGCGGCTTAATATTTCGCTTGCTTTGGGTGGACAGGAGAGTGATTCCACGCCAGTCCTTGCAAACACTGAGGTCTCCCTTCTTCGGGAGTTTGACAAGGTAGCCCTTCTCGCAGTCAATGGGCATGTACCTTCCTTCCTTCCAGACCTTCTGCAATAATGGTATAGTTTTGCGTATTAGTTATGTATATTTATTCAATCAATTCGTGTGTTTTCAGTTACATCATATCGATGTTATCTATAATTCAAACCGACAATTTTCTGTCAGACTAATTTGAGTATGCAGTCGCCTGCATAAAATTAGGTTGTAAGCAGCTGATGAGAAACCGCAAAGTAAAAATGAATTTATGCTATTCTGGTAAGGTGACTGTTCTCGCTCTGTTTAAATTTGTGAGTGGAAAGAATTGTACGAAACACCCGTAATTACCTGTAATATACCACTGACCTTTAGTCGGAGATATTGACTGTACTATTTGTTACTATGCCTCTACTTATCAGTGAAGTTGCCCAGTTTTCTTTTCAGAAGTTTGTATATTTTATTGTCATTTTTTGATCCTAGGCAATTCTTAGATTCAATAGCAGCTTATAGGTTTGAGTTATTTTATAGTGTTTGAGACTGCTATGAGTAGGATGCGTAATTCATGCTCTTCTATTCTTACACTTGATAAACGCTTTTTTCGATACAGCGGTCACATTTGTACCAAGGATTAGCATATTTGTAACTATTAAATGATTATGTACTATGTGTAATCCATATTCTTTTCTACCAAATCTTCAATCAGATCGTGTCATGAAAAAAATCGTCAAGATTTAGAAAAGTATTGTCAGACATTGGAGAATGAACGTAACGAACTTGAAAGTGAATTGACCAGAGTTAATGTGACTTTAAAGAATGCTATGGAAGTAAGTTGTCATTTATTATAATATGGCATAGTATGTGAGTTTTTTATGACTTGTTTTGTGATGGTCATACTTGTATTCCATTTGAGGCAATAATTTTTTGAGACAGGTCTTGTTTGTAATGTGGTTACCAGTACGTAGGTATTTTTGCTCAGAATTGGATCATGCTACCTAATAACATTTTAAGTAGCTAAAATATTTCATTAGAAATTCCACAACGTACTCCACAGTCGTTTTTGCTGTTTTGCTAATATATTGGCTGAATTCAACCTCCACATGATCATTTCTGACTGCAAGTATTCATTTTGCCATTGAGATGGTGGATGACACAATGATATTGGTTCCCGTTAGAATGTGTCTATTTGAATTTATATTTTATGGAAAATGTGCAGTCATTATTTATATATAGTGGTACATATGACCAGATTTTCTTAGGTTTTATTTGCACTTTAGTGTGCAGTATCTTTCTCTTACATTGTTAGATATTGTTCTGTCTTACAGTTAATAGTATGAATAGTATGATCCATCTGTACTGTTCACCGGTTAAAAAAAATTGTCTATATTGTTAAACTGAAGTTGATGTTCAAAGCTTCTCACTTGTTGTCCAGTTTTGCAAATTATCGCCTAGCTTAGAAAAGCAGTTTCATTCTTTTTGTGTCTTAAAGATAATGTACTATCTGCAGATAAGATGAATGTTTGACCTATCGCTAAATATTTTTAAATATGGAGATGAATGAATTATTGATGAATCGCTAAATAGTATCATGTAGGGTAACTAGGTAAATAGGGAGCGAATTTCCCCCGCCACTTTATTAGGTCCCCCAGTCTAATTGATAAGATGTGCATTCATGAGGCGGTTAACCCCTTTATGTAACCTCTATTCGGTTCCGTTTGATGTCCTTATTCTTATCCCCTTCACATTATCACTATTTACTTAGGTACATGTGGATAGTTCATCGTTGAAAGAAGAACTTGATAATGCGCGACAAAAGTAAGTTCCCATTTGGTTTTTTTTGTTGGCTGAATAATTTCAATGTATAAGAGATTTAGCTTGTTGTCAGTTTTTAGTTTCTAAAGCGTATTTATGTAGTACGTGGTATGATGCTTTCTTAAGCATTCTGACCATGTTGTCAAGTGTACACTTGACATTTTTCATCGAATACTCATTTTATCTTATACACAACAGTAACTGTATGTAGTTCATCACACAAAATAAGCAAATCGATGCAAGTTATAGAAGTAGATGAAAAGATTGCTAGAAGTAAAATAATATCGAGAATAAACAAAAACTGGCGAGAAAGAAATAAACCAGGTGTAGTCAGGTTTTCTTTCCATCTAATCTTTGCTTACAGATTGTCATATCTGCAGTTTTATGCAATGACTGGTGCATTCATCGCAATAACAACAACATGATTGTTCGTCTGGAACTGCGTTTCTATGACGCATCAATCGTGTAAACAAATAAATGACAATTTTTTTTTTGATTTTTCTCTTCTTGAACTATCATCATTGTGGTGCGCTAGTTCAATAAGAGTTTTCATCTTAAGTGTTCATCACTAATAAGTAATGCTTTATTTGAAGTTTTTTTCAACTTTGATATTTTCGTTTTGGTTATTTTGTTCTAATTCTTCTGTAGATGATTACCTTCTAGATAACTAACTTCCCACTTATAATTTACCCAGGTAGTGTAAAGAGAATACTTTGGTAATTTTACTGTATTTTTTTTTGAGATTTCTGATCGCTAATGATACTCCCTGGCTGCCGAAACCTCGTTAGGTGGAAGGGGGGGTTCGAACCCAGCGACCCACTGGTTGAAAGTCACCTTTCTAAATTGCTGAGCCACTGCTCTACGTCTTAGTATGTTTAACATGCACTTATTGGTCTTGGCGCATCACGAAAAGCACTTCCAACAAACTACAGACATTCATCAACAGCTGCCATCTATGCTTGCTCACTCGATACTGAAGATCAGATGGCCAGGAAGAATAAGCAACAAGGAACTCTGGGAACGAACCAATGAAGCAAGAACCTATCACCCAACAAATATGCAGAAGAAAGTGGAGATGGATTGGACACACACTGAGAAGGCCGACTGGGGACACCACGCGCCAGACCCTCGGGCGAAATGCAAAGGGGAAACGACAAGTTGGGCGTCTGAGATGAGGGTGACATGGAGGAGATCATGTGAGGAAGAAATGAAAGCTTGCGGTCAGTCGTGATGCCAGGTTTTTTAAGACTGCCGAGAAGCCCCATGTTCCACTAGGAACCCAGCGGAAAATAAATAACAAATAATTGGTCTAGGGAATTGACTGTTCAGTATGAATGTACACTCACCTATGTTATGCAACTATTAACAGCAGTCTAGGTGGTTTGGGTAGGAGGTGACAGTTTTGTAACTGATACTTTCATATAATCTTTCTCATACGTCAGTTGAAGAACCTGGGAGCACTGGATTACTGTTTCCTTCTTGTGTAAAACTTAGCAGCACGTGCCCATGTTTCCACTCTGACAGGGATCAAATTTAGGACTTTCAGGTTTCATGGTGATCGCGGTAGCCATTCAGCCACTGAGTTAGGGTTCAATGGTTCTTAGTTTCCAACTTTTGTCAATTCACGTTAAAGCGTGACTAGCGTCCAAGGTTTTCAGTTTGTATTGACTTCACTTTTGACCGGTTGACCCGACAGGTTATGGCTTCTTATTACAACTTCAAGGTATCTTTCTCGAAACATGTGACTGATGAGCACTATACAGTAATGTATTTTGAGATGAATGGGGATTTTAATTTTGAAGTTGTATTCATCTAGCCCACCCTAACTAAATTCATTGAAAATGTAAGTGAAGACGAGATTAGTCGTCAAGTGTACTTCCTTTTAAATATATTTTTGTCTTATAGAATGCTTTCGTTGGAGAAGAGTGCATCAAATGCATTCGATCAACTTGAAGTAAAGTCGAATGAATTACAGGCAATTCAAGCTCAGTTGGATAAAGTATTGAATGATGTATGTTTTGTTTTGTTTTGTCAAGGTATTCTTAATAATATAATGACTGTTCTTTATTGTCTTACTTGCATGTTAGAATTACCTAGTGTTTTTTTAAATTCAACGTGAGTTTCCCTTCTTTTTATGAAAGTATAATGTGTCAGGGTTACAGGAGCGTCAATCATTTTAATTGGAGTTAGGTAGCTCACATCTATAATAATTTGTTCTAGAGTAATTGGAGTACATAACTCTCGTTATGGCTAAAGAGTTACTATTTCAGTGTTTATAATATATATATCTGTTTCACTTTTATTTGAAATTCTAGTATAGTATATTATGGGCACTAGTCGATGAAGTTTCTGACTGTTTGTGTGAACCATACTGGAAGATATGAACTGCCTAACTAGGGTCTCTGAGATCAAAGGAACCAGTGGTTTAAAACTCTTGGTGATATGGTTGAAAATCAGTTACAATGGCACAAATTTATTCACCCCTTGACATTTTCTGAAGCTTGAATGTTTACACTCAGATTGTTTATTATCTCGTACAACTGTGTCTATTCTGAAATCAATTTTTCTATCCACCTGTTCTTTGTATAGTACTATGAAGTGTGATAAATCAAGCTGATGAACCCGTATGCAAGGTTTTACTTTGATTTTTAAGTCACTACTCCATGTGGAAGTGATGAAAACATTCTAAGCGCTCTTTTTTCACACTATTTTTCATCTTTTTTGGCTTTTATAACCTATTTTTTTGGCATGTATTGCATAATATTACACTCTATTACTTTGTCATATTGATAAATGCATCGATTTAGTGTAACTATATGTATGTGTGATAAAAAGCTTTGAGGTACACCAGTATACGTCAGAGCATTAAAAGGTTATGCCAACTTTTAAGCATTCATGCTTGTAAGAAGTGTTTGAACCGTTTTTTTTGGCATTTTTTTTCCACCTACATTTGACTTGATTTCCGAATTTGGTTCGACGATACACTCAAATTAATTTTATAGTTGGAATAAGTTAAACTGTAGTTGGAAGAAATCTGGACTGTCAATTGTCAATCATTGTATTCCCTATCTGAGTAGCTGAACACATTTAGTTACTTTCATATTCTCATTCAGTGTGGATAAACGTGTGTTTGGCGAAAGAGTTACACTTCTTCTTTAAACGTTGAGCAATCATTTGCTTAAGTTATAATCACTTTTAAAACTACCCTCAATAATATAGTTAACAAGTTATTTTCCTTGAACGTTTTGTTTTTCTCCATATTATTTAGCAAATGGAACTTGAGAAGGTGCATAATCATAGTATTACACTTTTAGAATCTGAGAAACAAGTATTATTGAAGCGTATTGAAGAAGCTGAGAATCGTTTATCTGAACAAAAACAAAAACAGTCAATTCCAACAGCACTGAACAGTAAGTTTACTTTATTTACTACTGTAGTGGATGCTACCGATAAGGATGCGTATAAGTAGTATATGTCGAGAGGTCAGCGGAAGTCATAGACGATTACGAGCGATGGGTAAATATTCTTCCCAGAGAAAAGGCAAGAGACAATGTAAGCGTATAAAGAACAAAATTAGATAGGAGAAGAAAAAAACTTGAAACATTCTGAAAATAAATATTTTCATGGAAAGTGTACATTCTCTCCTGCGTCTCATCCTTTGTCGCTGCTTCTGCGTATGACAAAGATTCGGTGGTCTGCAGTGTTCGAGGATGGGGGCATCAAGGTCTTCCTCAGGGATTCCGAGTCGGTTGTGAATGTGGTGTGTGTCCGGGATCCAAGAACAAAGATCGTGGTGCTTGGCGTGTCGCTGAGGAGTAGAGTGAAGCGACATATAACTATATGGAAGGTGTGGATAGGAAGAATATTTAGGAAAGAATGGTTTAACAACTGGAGATGGAGATTGACAGATCATCGGACAGGAAGTTGACTTTGCACCAGTTAGGATCACAAAACCTGCAATAGACAAAGATCCGCTGGTATTAGTTATGAAATTTACAAAGTTACTTCGATAAGCACTTCCAACTTTCGATTAGGACTACGAGGCACAGTTGCTGGCTGTGCAGTACACTGAAAGTGTCTCGAATGTCATTGCTCAGTAGTTACGACTAGTGAACGCAGCCCAACTGATGGATATAAGTGAGCTGGGGAAGGTGACTAGACTTCAGTAGCTGCGGTGGAGTCTTCAGAAGTAAATGACTGGGAAAAGCAAATAGGTAACCTTTAGGAGGAGATGGCTGCACTTTGAATGTCTATTATGACACTATATAACTGATGAAGTCTTGCAACTTTTCAACTGTATTATTCATTTGCGCAATGTGTTTCATTTCCTCTTCTTCTCCTATCTCGTTTTGCTCTTGACACACTCTTGCGTTTTCCTGCGTAGAATACTTACCCATTTTTAATATCTGCCCATGACATCCGCTGATCTCTCAACATATACCACTTATACGGATTTTATCAGTAGCGCCCACTTCATTACTACATATGGGTTTTCTACTCACCAATATGATATACCGATATCCTTGCGTGTTATATCAAACTGTAAAGCTGGGCTATTTGTTCACTCACCTTGTTTAATACCCATGGATTCTGATGACTGGTGACGTAACGTATCTACTAGGTACAGGTTCGCATTCTAGGTTATATATGCTCCGCGGTCATTGAGTAAGAGTTTATGACTACCTGGTTGTTTAGTTGGATGTAAGTGGTATGGGATTTAGAGTCAAGATGCATTAGTTAAACGAAAGTTTAGTGCTCTAGGTAATGAATCACAGCTTTACTCCTCTTCTGCTTAGTAGTTGAATTACAGTACTGTTTAGCCGCTTCATAGAGTGAGAAACAATGTGTAGATGGACGTTATTGCTTGTATTTTTCCATCGTTGATTAAATCGAATTGATCGGTCTCTATTGATATATGGACTGTTGCGTGCATGCCTTGATATTGCATGTAGTTTCAGTTTGGTAGTAATGATGATAGATGGTTACTAGTAGTGGAATATAGGACGTGCGTCTCATCGTATTTGGGACTCGTCAGCTGCATGTCCCTGCACCCCAGCGAGTGATTTTGTTTCCACTGAAACTCGAACCAAGTACCCAGTGTTTCAAACGTCTAAGCATTATCCACTAGACCACTGAGTAACGATAGATTGATAAATTGTTATGATATTCATCGAAATGTGTTAACACAGGAAATCAGTATTTTTATGTGTAGCTATCTAGAAATTGATGTAAGCCTTTTGAAATTTTACAAACAGAAGGTATGGAAATCTATGTAGCAAATGAAAACTTTAAGTAAATAAGACTAATCTATCAAATTTCATGTGATGACTGTAAGTCACGTCAAGTACACAGGTCAAACTAATCGGTCGGGGTTAGTTAGAGTAGCCGAACATAGGAATTTAGGTAAATATAGAATGACAGACTCGAATAAGATCAACAACCTAGAAAAACACTCGGCTATTGCAATGCATGCATTAAAACACAACCACACAATAGGGATAAAGCTACTTCACTTAAGTCCAGTATAATTAGAGAAGAGATAATTTAGCGAAGAAAATTTTCTTCTCCAACGATATCATTTTCTATAGCTGTACAATCGTATTTATATATATCATAAATATATAACAGTCTACTATAAAACAATGGGTTATAATTACATCAATAACTTAGTGCCAAGAAACCGGAATCAGGAGTGCAAAGTAGTTGCGTAGTAATCTAAAACAGTAGAGCTAACGAGGAAGGCAAGGAGTTTGACAAAGTGAAAATTATTGGTAGATAAGAAACGCAAATATTGAGTGTCCACTTGATAGATAGATGTAAAGAAGGTGAAGAATGAGACAAGGTGATAATAATAAACTAATTAATTATAATGAAATCGATAAATATGAAAGTGTTAAGACCATGGTAAGATGAGAGATTGAACATACTTCTTTTACACGCAGAGATCAGGCTTGAATTGATGAATTGCCAGTGCTTCCGCTGTGCACAACTGTCGAAGTCGTACTGCTTTTGAACTATTCCATCTGAGACAATAAACGACACTGAAAGAGGATTCTGGTTTAGCTTTATGTCCAGAGTTGACTAAATATTCAAGAATTGAACTGTTAATTGATTTACATTCTCCCCTCGACAACCATGCACGATAGTACTCCGCGATACATTTGGAAAGCGTGCACTTTGTACGGCCTATATATATAAAAATATAATTGGGTTGAGAGAGTGAGAGAGATGGATAACTGAATCTTTGTTCATCGAATCAACACCCAACCAATACATGTGATAGAAATGACACAACGCTTATACGAGAGATATGGAAAGTTTTTCTACCAATAAAAGCAACTCATATGAGGTGACATAACTATAAAAATCAAATGTCGAAAGTAGTGTGATCACGCTGATATGATTATGAGCAGTAATAATTCATGCTCTAAACGTCATCAAGTAAATAATACTAGATCATTGTGTGTTATAAATCAAATCAAATCAAATTCTCGACCTGAAAGCGGCATTCGACTCCGTTGATCGACAAGTCTTATGGCAATGTCTCTCACTGAAAGGCGTGCCTAGTAAGTACATCACGTTATTGAAAGCTCTCTACTCGAACACTTGTGGGCATGTTAGAGCCTATGGCGAGTTGTCCAGGGAGCCATACTCATCAAGTGGTGTCCGTCAAGGATGCCTACTATCTCCATTCTTATTTAATTTTATCATAGATATTCTTATGTAGGTTTCCCTCTCGTCACCTAATTACACAGACGTTGACCCGATCACAGGTGAATTTTCTTTAGATCTGGAATATGTAGATGACGTAGTCCTGTTAGGTGACGACGACGCTGACAAGATGCAGAGTCTTCTGAACACTTTGAGTGGGAATTTGAAAATGTTTGGCATGCGATTTTCACCACCCAAATGCAAATTTTTGCTCCAGGACTGGTCTTCAGCGGTGCTCCACCGCGGTTAACAATCGAGAGTGAAGTGGTTGAGTGTGTTGACCACTTCACTTACCTGGGAAGTAGGATCAACCCTGGTGGGTTAGTTGCCGATGAGATTTCTGCACGAATACAAAAGGCTCGATTGGCTTTTTCCAACTTGCGCCACCTATGGCGCCGCCGTGATATTCGTTTGTCTATTAAGGGTCACGTGTACTGCACAGCAGTCCACTCTGTTCTACTGTATGGCCGTGAAACATGGCCATTGAAAGTGGAAGATATAAAAAGGCTTGAGGTGTTTGACCACCGTTGCCTTCGTAGGACATATTCCGTGGTGTCACCATGTGAGTAATGCAGAAGTTAGGCGTAGAGTTTTAGGGAGAAGAGGTAAGCTAGTTGACGAGGTTGTGAACCTTCATCGACTGAGATAGCTGGTTGGGACACGTACTATGTATGCCTAGTTGTCGATTGCCTCGTCACACAATGTTGGCTGAGGTGGGTCCAGGCTGGCAAAAGGCCCGATGTGGCCAGACTAAAACATGGCACCAATGTATGAAGTCTGTGACTGTTGGTTTAAGCCATGTGGGGAGATGCAGACTAGGTGGTTGGAGTTGTCGGGACAAGAGGAACCAGTGGTTGGAGACTGTAGGTGATATGGCTGAAAAGCGATGTGAGTGGTGCAGATGTATACACACATTATCCTCATCTTAACAACGCTATACCGAATCTCACCATTTTGTCACTCCTCTTCATCCTTCACCTCACTACCTTTTTACTTGATGTGCTGATATGAGGTGTGGCAATTCGGACCGTTATGCAGTAATGCCTGGTCCTATGTTGATGATAATGATGATGTTATAAATCAAATAAACAAGTCTTATATGGAATTAAATTTTTCCATAGTGCCCAAGTTTTATATCTATTTTTAAAGGCCGGAAAGTTTTGTCTTTCCAATTCGTAGGTTAAACTGAAATAATGTTATGTAAACGAACTGAGTCTTAACTATTTCAAATAGTTTTGGGCAGCTTCAATAATTAATAATTACTGCTTATTTAGTTCTTTTTCAGTTTAGGTATTTTGCACTGTGAAATATACCCTTTTAGTTTTTTCACGTTTTGTTTATTCTAAAGTGATACCATTTATTTCATAAACTCGTTGTCGTTTTATTATTATGAAGGCTAATTATTTAAATGTTAAGGTGTGTACGTTATAGCAAACATATTATGCTATGACCAAGTTAATACCATCAATTTGGTACACAAAAAGCAGAAAAACGCTGTTTTACCCGATAAAGGTATTTTATATCCCTTCTGATGGAATCATTAGGTTTTAGTAAGCATTTCTTACACAGGTTCAAATAGAACACTACCAACACTTTATCATACTTTGACGTAAGTTTACATGAGATAGACATCTATAGTATGTCAAAACCTGTGACTTTAAAAGATTATGGTGTTTTTTCGAACTAAGTGGTCTGTGAT